CCAGCTCGTGTGTTTTTTTCCACCTCGATGTTGCTTAAGAAAGAGAGATCATGGAGAATGTACTTTGATAGTCAAACCATCAACAAGATCACTATCAAAATACAAGTTCATCATATCTCGTTTGATGAACTCTTAGATAAGTTGCTTGGAGCCACTGTCTTTTTCGAGATTGACTTTTGCAGTGGATATCGCCAGATCTAGATGAGACCAGGGGGCGGACGGAAGACTGTTTTCATGACCTGGGATAGATTATACGAGTGGACAGTCATGCCTTTCAGGCTGTCCAATGTGCCCAACACATTCATGAGATTGATGAATCAAGTGTTTCGGGCTCACATTGGTAAGTTTGTAGTGTACTTTGATGATATTTTGGTATACAGTAGATCAAATGAGAAGTACTTACCGCAACTGAGGACGATATTCGAAGTTTTGTGATTGGATAAACTCCATGCCGACCTAAAGAAGTGTCACTTCCTAATTGCACAAGTATGCTTTTGGGCTATATTGTGTGTAGCGCGGACATTCAGATGGATCCTGTAAATATCAAGGCAATCATAAGCTGGATGCCCCCACAATCCTTTATTGAGTTGAGACAGTTTTTGGTGAAATCATCATTCTGTAGGAGATTTATTAGAAGCTTCAGCACCATCACGACTCCCTTGACAGAACTTTTGAAAAAGGTGAAGTTCCAGTGGACAAATGCAGCTCAGTTTCGATACCCTGAAGGAGAAGGTGATTGGGCACCAATTTTATCATTGTCGGACTTCAATAAGTTGTTTGAGGTGGAGTGTGATGTCTCAAATGTGGGGATCAGAGCGGTATTAAGCCATGGGGATCTCCCCTTAGCCTTCTTCAGTGAGAAATTGAATAAGTTTAAGAGAATTTTTAACGTAAAAAAAAAGAATTTTATTCTATTGTGAGAGCTCTTAATTGTTGGAGTTATTACCTGATGACTAGTGAGTTTACCTTTTTTACGGATCATGAGGCTTTAAGGTTTTTGAATAGCTAGAACAAACTAAATGGTCGACATTTGTCATGGGTGGAATTCTTCGAATCGTTCTAGTTTGTGCTTAAGTACAAGATAGCATACCAGAGTCGAGTAGCAGATGCATTGAGCTGTCGTCATTTGTTGATCACTTCTATGCAGACTCGATTCGTAGGAATTGAGATAATGAAGGAGTTGTATGGGGTAGACGAAATTTTCAGAGAGATTTGGGAGCAATGTTAGGAAAAGCCTACCGAACAGTGGCACAGGGCTAATGGTTATCTGTTCCACCAGAATATGTATTGTATTCTTCATTGTTCGCTGAGAGAATTCATTATTCGTGAAAGTCACAATAGAGGACTTGTAGGACACTTTGACAGAGACAAGCCTTCGGTGCTCATACGAGAACTTTTTCTTAGCCCCGAATAATGAGAGATGTTGAGTGACACGTTAAACAATGCAGAATTTGTCATGTGATCAAAACCAAATGGCACAGTGTTGGACAGTTCTACCCATTACCACTTGTGGAGGCTCTGTGGGTGGTTGTTAGAATGAATTTTGTGGTGGATCCCCAAGGACACATTAGAACAAAGATTTTGCGATGCTTGTGGTTGATAGATTCTTGAAGATAACACATTTCTTACCTTGCCACTAAACATTGGTTGCATCACATAGAGCTGACTTGTACTTCAGGGAGGTCATGAGACTACACAGGATACCCAGGACCATTACTTCTGGCAAAGATGTCAAGTTTTTGAGTTGGTTCTAGAGTACTTATGGGGGAAGCTTGGCACTAAGCTTCAATTTAGCTTAGGAGTTCATTCACAGACGTCCAGCAAGATGAAAATGGTGAACATGAGTTTGGGGAATATTTTGGGTGCTTTGTGGTGAAAAATATTAAGCAGCGAGACCTAATTCTAGCCCAGGCCGAATTTTCTTACAACAAATTTGTGAGTTAGACATGAGGCACACCTCATTTGAGATCGTGTACCCTTTCACTCCACTGAACTTGATATCACTTTTTTCGATATCAAAGAATAGTGAGGATGTTGGGAGGGTGCATGAGATTTAGAGATTACACGAAAAGGTGGGAAAGGAGATCACTAGGCATAAATAGAAGTACTAGGCACGGGCGAATAAAATTATGAAGAATGTAGTTTTTCAAGAAGGGGATCTATTGTGGATCAGGTTGAAGAAAGAAATGTTTCCTATGGGATCCTTCGGGAAGCTCAAGCCCATGTCAAATGGGCCCTTCAGGATTCTCAAAAAATTGAATGATAATGCTTATAAGATTGACCTACTAAATATTTCGACTACTTTCAATGTAGCAGATTAGTGTCTGTGCTATGAGAAATCGAAAGCTTCAACTTCGACAGATTGGGTCGAAGCTCTCTCAATCTCGGGAGATTGACATGGGGGCGCCTTTGCGCACGTGAGCATGGCAACTGCCGCAGGTCGACCGACTCTGTCCAGGTGGGAGAATGAGCAGTCCTCCCTTGCACACAGTTCCCTCATATTTGGAGCGGCGCTCGCTCCTCTTTACCCTAAGATTATATATATGTTATTTGTTGTGTCTTAGGTTACTTTCGGCTTCAGTTTTTTGTCATTTTCATCTTTATCCTTGGTAGAGTTTTATCTGAGGGCAGATTGTGCTTCAGTTGTATTTTGCTTCAATGTGGTGATTATCTCTGCATATTTCCATCACTATTCTCCTTGCATGCTTGTTGTCGCCCTCCTTGTGCTCCTTCTACTTGCTCCCGCTGCTTCCTACACCATCTCTTGCTATTGCTGCCCATTCCCACCTCTTCCTTGTCGTTGCCGCCCTTTCTACACCATCTCTACTTGTTGCTTCCACTTTTCGCATCCCCCTAGTCTGCTATTGCCCTTCCCAAGCCCCTCACCGCTGCTCAACCGGCTGTCTGGCCGTTGGATAGCCCTCCAACCACGGCCACCTACCTCGCCCTAATGGGATATTAGTGTTTGTGTCCTGTTTTTTTTTAGTTCAAGGTCGTTGATTGTAATTATCTTTTGTTTTGCATTATAAAATTTACAGGGGTTTTTTGGTTAACTTGGATATCACTAAGCTTACCAACTTAGCATTTGTACCATAGATTTGCATGACCACATTAATGTTCAAGCTTGAGAAAAGTGTCAAAATAGTCCTTTGACTCCTTTGTAAAGGGTCATCTTAGTCCTAGAGTATGAGGAAGTGGTCTCTAGGTTCTTTTTTAATGTAAACGGAATTAGTCGTCTATGAGGACTATTTCAGCCCTAATTTAAAAAGTTTGAGGACTAATTTCACACTTTTATAGACTATGGGACTAAAATGGTCCCATGGAAAATACTTAATGGACTATTTTGGCACTTTAATCATTCGCGCTTGTTATAAGCCCTTGTATATATGTAATGGTCCTTATTCTTGTGCGAATGGTTTCTTAAGAGAAATGAATGATAGTGACAAAGAATTAGGGCATGGAGTCGTGATGGTGAAAGCTAGGAATTGAATTAGGAGAGTTGTAGAAATGATGACGGTGGACAAATAATGGCGAAAAACTGCTGTTGGTCAGCAACTCTGAGGAATTCAGTGGCTCTACGGCTAGAAAACAGCTTGCCGACCAGCAAAACTGGAAGACGTGGTTGACGAGGAGGTTCCGCCACCTGTTATCATCAACATACAAATTCACCACTCGAAGAAAACTAGACTATAACTCTCCAAATAAGAGAAAGCGGAGAGAAAATTCTCCAAATAACATAAACCAAAATAGGAAAATATTCTAACCAGAAAATAACAACATACAAATAGTTTCTTCTTGAAATAACCCTAATTCTATTTAGAATAATATAAAAATTGGGCCCACAATGGCCTGGCGACGGTGAATTAGCGGGAAGTCCCACTACAGCAAAATGAAACTGGAATTCCTCTCTTCTTCTCGTCCCATGTAAGGTGGATTGTCGAATCCTACTGAACAGCTCCCACATCAGATACTATTCTTCGTGAGGAAGTTTGTAGTTTGTTTTTTTATGGGTCGTTTGAAGCTTCATTTCTACTGGACAAACTCGTCCTGTGTGTTAGTTTCAAGTATCTCACACTTCTTGCATCAATTTTCTTGTTTCCTATTGATTGAGATGTCTTATTAACAACAGGGGTATGTACATACTTACCACATAATTCTTATTTATTTGCATGTCTAACACCTAAACATTCAGATTTACATGCATAGCACTCAAATTTTCAATATCACATCAAATATACGACCATCACTAACTTTTTAATAAGTGAAATACAGCTGTGCATGCATAGGTTTATGACATGAAGGTGTTATAAGTGTAAATATCAAACTTCGAGTGTTAGATATGTAAATGTATAAGAATGGTGTGGTATGTATGTAAATTTCCCTTAACAAATGCAAATACTTTATAGCTAGTTCATGGTATCTGGCTGAATTCATTGAGCAATGTGAGGACGATTTTAACATGAACGCTGCATTGAAGTTGAAATGGCGGAGAATAACGAAGGGCCTAAATTCCAGAACAGGCTTCAAACCCTACTTCTTCCTAAACCAGATTCAAATTAGGTTTTATTTATATTTTTATGTTCATTTTTTTATGATTTTTATTCACTAAAATTAGAAGTTATTTTATTAGCTAGGCTTTTAGTTGTTTTGTTTTTGCTTGAATGTTAATTGTAAATACTCATGTTTTCTCTAACAAATGGTTGTAGGCCCTTAGATTGTATTAGATTGGCATGAATTAAGCTTGAATTTTTCTCTCATTTTTATCCTTATTTTCACAATTGATCTCTCTCTAACAAACTTGAATGTGTTTAAAAACATTCAACATAACTAAAGATGATTTTGACTGTTTTTAAAAATATGTTCATTTATTTTCAACAGCATGTAAAACATGTTTTATTTTAAATCAAAACACAAATAAAACAAAATAAAAATACAAAATATAGTTCTGCATTCATTCCATTGGTTCTTCCACCCTAAACTAGTTTTTAATTTCTTAACAGTCTACTGTTGCTGCTGGCTATTCTAAGTTCGTAAATCGTGAAATGAGCAAAGCGGAAGCACTCCTGAAGGTATGATCATTTTAATCTGGAAAAATGTTGCAATTTTTTTCTTACAAAATGTGTTTTTTGTTAAAACAATATAGGTTATATTATCCCCTGTTGACTCTGTTGCTAATACATACCGAGCATTGCTTCCCGAGGGCACGCCATTGGAGTTTCAAAGAATACTTGAACTCAAGGTATTTCTGTAACTAATTTTTCTTTCCAGTAATTCTTCATAGAAAGAAATACCTTCTGTTATTAAAGCTGTTATAAAATCAGTGATTTTGCGCCTAAAGGTGGCATTTTGGATGCTGTGAATTTTTAGTGAGAAAAAATGAAAAATATAGCTGAAATTCTTAAATCGACATCTGATCAACACAACATTTTGGGATATCATTTCATTTTCTTCACTTCAATCCAAACAAATCAAATTTTCTTCACTTTAATACAAACAAAGTCAAAATTACTAGCATGTCAAAGTCTTTCATCAAAATATTATTTGTTCATGAAATGTTGTCACCGTCGGGGAAAAATTTTAGGAAAAAATAGAAATAGATGATGTTAAAGCCGTCGAAGCGCACTATAAATGTTGGCTGATTAATGATGCATCACACACAATTTAAAGCAAATTCAATAATTTTGAGATCTATTCAGTTTAAATTTTGGTCAAAATATCCTGTTCTATTTGTTTTCCCTTGTATGCAATATTTGGTTATCAATTGGTGTTGATACATTATAGCTTGTTATAGTTCTTTAACTCAATGCTTCTTCTATAATACACAGTTATTTGTATCTGGATTGGTATAGATTAAACATTTTAATCGGTGAAAAAATAATATTTCTGCGCAAGAGCTTACTTCAAGTTTATTCTGACAAAATTTCCCTAATATAAATAGTTGTATCATAGCTAACCATAGAAATCTTTTCCGAAATCTGATTGAAAAGTTTTAGGAAGCTTTACATACATACCCCTCATTTCCTATTTATTTACAAACTTCACACCCAAACTTAAATTTTTTGCATACATTGCACCGACCTATATATCAAAATGTGTATTTCACTTTTAAAAAGTTAAAATTGTGGTGTTCTTGATGTGATTATAAAAGATTTGGGTATTATAAATGTAAAAAATAAACTTTAGCTGTTAGATATGTAAAAGACATTTGAATTCGGTGGTATATATGTAAATGCTCCCATTTTATACATAACTACTCAACTTATTTCAAAGTAAGCTGACAAGGGCCACCCCCAATCTTCTTAATCCCACGACTGACTCCATTAACCTAAATACTCCACTGATTTTCATTTATACTTCAGAGTTAGAAGAAAGCTCATCAGCAAAAACATTTTGGATGATCTAATATGTCCACGCATAAGCTTACCCTAAATTATGCTGCCAAAATTTGTATAATATAAATAGTTATATTATGCATAACCATAGAAAGCTTTTCCCAAAATCTAATTAAAATTTTTCTAGGAAGATTTACATACATGCCACTCAATTCCTATGTACTTCCATGTTTAATGCCCAAACTTCAATTTTTACATTGGTGCCACCTTAACAATGCATGAAAAGGTGTATTTCACTTTTTAAAAGTTAAAATTGTGGTTTTTTTCCTCATGTGTTATGAAAGATTTGGGTGGTATAAATGTAAAGAAATAAATTTTACTTGTTAAGTATGTAAATACATAAGAGTTTGGGGTATGTATGTAAATGCTCCAAAATTTTAATAAAAAAATTTCATATTATACATAAATACACAGTTTTTTTGGAGTAAAGTGCTAAAATAGTCCTCTGAATTTTTAGATTATTATGTTATTGCTGGAGTTTATAAAAATGCTAAATTAGCCCTAGACTTAAAATAGTCCTCACTTGAAACTATTTTAACCCCCATATTAAAAGTGTTTGAGAACTTAATTGATATTTTTTTAAACTCTGAGACTAAAATAACTCCATGCAAAGATTCAGATGACCATTTTGACACTTCTTTCGAGCTTTTTCTAAATTTAAGCACAGTCCACCTCCTCCCTAATCCCACCATTGATTCCATTCATATTTTAGGGTTTGAAGAAAGCTGATCAGCAGAACATCTTGGATGACTTCAACAAACACAGTCCAGGCATCAATCACCCATCCATTCCTCCCTCGGTCGTCCTGCCAACTCAGCCAGATTCCTCGGCTATTCCACAGAACATAATAGCTGCCGCCGCTGCAGCCGCCGTCTCCGCTGCCACCGCCACTGCTTCCATGGCCACAGCTGCTTCAGGAACGGCCATTACATCTCGAGAAGATGTGCTGACTCGTGCCGCTGCTCTAGGCAGAGGAGCAGCCACCACAGGCTTCAAGAGGTTCCTTGCCTTAACTGAGGCTGCCAAAGATCGTAAGGATGGGCCTTTCAGGAAGCTTTTCAATCCTTAATATATTCTTGTTTAGTTGCTCACTGCAATTTTTTTATTTTTGTGGGTCTGAATAGATTTATTATCTGTGAAATTAATTTAATTTTTTGGCTTAAATAAGAGATTAAATAATTGAGTATTTTTTCAATTTATTTCACCGAGCAGTGATGTGTGAAGAATATGAGGTATTGTGAGTGAATGTTGATTGCTGCTTAGTCTTGTTTGATACTGGTGTATAGAGGTGTATATGGGCGGAAGCTTGAGCGATCTCAATGTTTGTTCTTTTTTTTCTTGAATGGGTTGTGAATGATATGTTTGTGCTCGGCTCGATTCAAATTTATTTGTTTGTTTTAGTTGTGTTTAGCTTGAAATTAAATGATCTAAAATATAATTAAATTTAATATTTTTTAATTATAAAATATTATTTATTTATTTGTTTGTTTAATTCAAAATTAATTGAGTCAAATAAAGTTGTGCAAAAGTTTGTTCGTGTTTGGTTAGTTTATAAATCTAGTTCAAAAAGTGTGGTAGCTAAGACCAAAGTTTGTCTGGTTTGACTCACCATCGGCTTGTGTTTAACTCCACAAGGTTTTAACATGAGCGGCTTAGACTTGGATGCCAAGTGTTAGTCTCCTTAGCTAAGTGGCTTCATTGTCCTTTACTATTTGTTTTTAGGCTTGATTATTTTATTTCCACCTATTGTATCATCCATGTGTTGGTCTTATGAGTCATGATTGACAAATGGGGGGGAATGGGCCCTAATGAATGGGCTTATGGGCTCCCATGTGGCTCGGGCTTGGGTTTACTTAGGTGGTTTGGCTTAGCCCAAATAATTTAGGTTTAGCCCAAAATATTAAGCTTAGGGGGGGACCTTTATAGTTAGCCTAATTAAATAATTAGGTTAATTATGAAGATTACCTCCACAGTATAATTTTAACTTCTTAAGTGACGTTGGTCTTAGCACTTTGAATTGATTTTGATTTCATTATGATAGGTTTAGTTGTCCGATAGTTGATTTGATTATTTGATTGAATTTAACTTGGGTCCAATTGGGTTTTGGTAAGTTTTGGTGATTTAAAATTTTCTGGTTAAGTTGATGTGCTCAAGGCTTATGTTAATTTTAGGGTGGGTTGGTGTTGAGAAGAAAATTTTTGGTGAGGTCAAAGTTTGATTTTGGTGACCCACTCCTCCCTTTAGTTTGAATTTTAATATAATGGGATATTTAAGGTTTTTAAGGTAATGTGGTTAGAGATAAAATCCTTCCTTTGACTAGCCTCATGCTTATTGAGTTTGTTTTAGGTTAAAAAGAATGTCTGGGGTAGCTCATGGGTTAACAGGGGAATCCCTAGAACTCTATGCTCCAAGGGTAGCTTAAATCAATTTTCTCCTCTAAGAATTCACCTCGGGCTTCTACTAGTTTTAACCCTCTTCATCCCAACAAATAATTGAGGATTTGGGTTTATCCTTATATAACTCTAAGTGAATGTATAATTGGTTTGAGGTACTATATAGGTGAGTTCCGTCTCTAGGCATCTAAGAAGATCACAAGGAAATCCTAAGGTTGGATCTTAGGCTTCTATAGAGAGAAGAGATGTCCTCACAAAAGTGAGGTCAACAGTTACATTCAAGAAATAATATGATCTCAAATGTCTTATGAAATATATATATATATATATATATATATATTTCATGTCATTTTCTCCTAGAAAATCCAAAATCAAAGATTAATTAGATATTTTATGATAATTAAATAAGAAAAAGAAAAAAAAAATTTAATGGCTGATTTAGAGTATATATATATATATATAAATATATATATTAAACATCACCTAACAAAGCCCTCTTGAAGACTAAAGTTTGATATAACTTCATTAATTCTTGATGATCAAATACTTATATGTTTGTAACTCCAAATAGCTTCTTCAAACTCTCAAGGCTTTGAAGGGCCAACTTATAGTGTTCATCCAGTTTGTTTTTCATTTTATTCAAACCATATTGAGATAGTAAATTACACATAATGTAGAAGATACATCCATTAATAATGAACATGAACCTTTATTGAATTTAATCCCTCAAAGTAATCATTGCATTGCTCTAAATACTACACTAGTACTAGTTTACTTTTGGTAGACAATGCAACACAAACATAACCTAACTGTTCATATCCCTTTGTGATATGTTATCTTTTATTCCAAAGTCTTTACCAAAACCTTAACTCTAACTCTCCTTTGCTTTCACAAAATTGGATACTCCACTAAAGTTATTGAATCTAATAAGTTACAAGTTAATATAGTATTTTATAATAGTAGAGATAGCCCACCAACAATATTTATCTTGAACACAATCATAATATTCTTATATATTATAAGAGCATTAGTGTTAACAAAATAGACATAACTTGAAACACCAAGGATAATTAAGGATGTTATATTCTATTTATAATTAAACAAATCATTTTTTCCTCGCATCATTGTTATATAATACCATAACTTCTAGTCTTATACATAGTTTTATTTCTCATATAAAAAAGCCAACAATCAATGAGCATATTTTAAAAACTATCTCTTACATATCATAAGAATAAGTTGAACTGAGAGCGCACTATTTTTATGCATGTCTTCTTTAGTCAACAAAAGAACATCATCTGAACTGAATCAATTAAAACTACAAATACATATGTTAAACTTTTTTTATGGCTTTCATATGCTTCTTGATATTTTTTAATTGTAACTACCAAACTCGTACTATGTGAGGTATTATTACCCCTTTGATCCATTCCATCTCACATTATGTCAAGTTTCACAATTTGTTTTTGTTTTGTGTAACTTTATTCCAAACTCGCCCATTTGATGATTCATTCTCCATCATAACATGCTTAATCATTTTATTCTCGTTAAAACTTAATCTATTGTACTAAAAGGTGCCTCTCATATTTGTCTAGATTTTAACAATCATTTATTATAACATCATATGATCCCATTTTAGTGTGAAATTAACTCTTTAACATCTCCCTTTCCTCCTACAAGTTTGCCATCCTGCAAGCTTCTACAAGCCTCTGGGTTGTGCTTATGTGGTCCTCAATCCTTATGATGACATCTTCATCACCTACATCTTTGATGTTGCCCAAACATCCATTTTGAACCTTTCTTCATAGTTTCAACCACGACCACCTCCATCTCTATTAGAGTTAATCTTATTCTATCAAAAAAGTTGGCTTAACTCTAAGTCAACTCCACCTGACTTATAATAAATAAAATTAAAGCCTAGGTTAGCACATGTTTCAAGACAAAATTACTCCTTTCCTTAATAAAAAGCTTATTATTGAAGAAACATAAGTCACACATGCTTATATTAAAGCATGTGCTATCCAAAAAGAGAACTCATTATTGATAGCTATTGACACCATATTTTCTCTTTGAACATATGAATTATATGTTATTTGAAGACAAATAATGAGTTTCCACAAGTTTTTTGTTACTCAAAATTGATCACACCAATCCGACTCAAAACCCTCAGTGGTGACCTTGGTTAGCTCTAATGCACCTCCACATCCTTAAGTATATTACATATCTCATTAAGGATGTTTTGGAGATGCGTAGGAATGGGGGATTGCTCATAAGAAATGAGAGTGTGCATAAGGCGACAAAAGCTTTAAAGTCTACACCATGAGAAAAGTATTCATGTGATGAGAGCATGTTTGTGCATGGGATGAATCCTACACAAGTTTACTACAATGTTAAGAGTAATTGTGTGTGGAATATTTAAGGTTAATTTAAAATCTTTTATTTATATTTTTATTTTATTCATATTTTAAATTGAAATAAAACTTTTTTAGTGTTTTAAAATACACATTTTTTTTCTTATCAAAATTTGGATATATTAATTTATGTTTTGGGCTATGACTGACCACTAAAAGTTATAATAATTATTTTTAAAATACTTGAAATATCTAAAGGTTATTTTGAGTAATTTTAAAAAATTATATTTATATATATATATAAATATAAATGATCAT